GATTTTTTTTAGGCGTTTTCAAAAAGAAACGTTTCACTTTCTTGATTCAAAACCACTGTATGGGTTGAAATTTCCTGTCATTTTATATTTTAGTAAAAACAATCTAAAATGCTTGAAATTGAAACAAAATGTTTCATCCTCAAACCAAATCTATTTCTGACCTTCTGGTTTGCTGACTAATTTTCATTTTCAGTTTTACATGAAAAGATTCCCCCCCCCCCGCCGCCCTGAGTTTTGGTTCCCTCAAAATTTATCAAATTATGCTTTCAGATGGACCCGCAAATATTTTTTTCAAATCTTTGGTTCACCAAAAACTTCAACAATTTGTCTTTTTGTTTTGACCCAAACAGTTTTCAGTTTGCTCAAAATTTTGACCAATTTTTGTTTCAAGCCACTAGCCAGGAGGGGAATGGGCCACGGGGCCTTTCCCCTCTTGTGGGCGATGGCTTGGATCCAGCCCCAGGGTGGGGGACTGGCTGGCTGAGGTGGCAGGAGCGGGATACCGGTGACAATCTGTGCAGGCTGTGTTGCTCGGTAGCTGTCCTGAACAATTTCCCCTTGGTGATGTGCAGATAATAGCAGCCCCCATCCCTGGCTCACACATCCTCGATGCCCAAGGAGCAGCCCCCCTTCTCCAGGTATCCCAGCATCCAGAAGTGGCCCCGTGCCTCCTCCAACATCTCTCGCTAGGGGATGTTAGAAGCAATGGGTTTTCCCCAGAAGACGTCCGCTTGCTCCATGAACCAAGACCCACAGATCCCCCCATCCGATCCCGGCCTCATCAGTGGCCTGAATGTGCAGGGGATGATGAAGCAGAGACCCACCCAGGCTCGCACCGATTCTGGGGCCCTCAGGCTCAGTTCTGGATGGAGCCACCAGATGGCGTAGTTACACAAAGCCAGACATAATCGGGGGAGACACCTGTGGGGAGACGGGGGCAGCATTAGTGCCCCACACTGGCTGCACAGGGGGTACCCCTCAGATGGGACTGACTTGCATGCTCTGCCTCTGTTAATGCATTTGCTTTTTTTGCACCAGCATCACATTGCTGACTCATATTGAGGTTGTGATCCACCCATATCCTTCCCAGCAGTGCTGCTGCCAAGCCAGTTCTTCCCCATCCTGTATTTGTGTATTTGGTTTTTCTCCCTAAATGGAGCACCTTCCATTTGTCCTCGATGAATTTCATTGTGTCGTCTACAGCCCAGTTCTCCAATTTATCGAGATCCCTCTGAATTTTAGCTCCATCCTCCAAAGTGTTGGCAACTCCCCCCAGCTTTGTGTCCTCTGCAGATTTGATCAGTCTGCTCCCTAGTGCTACATCCAGGTCATTGATAAAGATGTTAAACAACACGGGACCCAGAACAGATCCCTGTGGAGCCCCACTTGAGACCCCTCTCCAATCCCACATCGTCCATTAACAGTGACTTGTTGTATGTGGTTGTTTACCCAGTTCAGTATCCACTTAATGGTAGTTCCACCAAGCCCACATTTCTCCATAAGAATGGCCATACTGGGTCAGACCAAAGGTCCATCTAGCTCAGTATCCTGTCTTCCGACAGTGGCCAATGCCAGGTGCCCCAGAGGGAATGAACAGAACAGGTAATGATCAAGTGATCCACCCCCGTCACCCATTCCCATAGGGTGACCAGATTAGTAATATAAAATATCGGGACGGGGCGGAGCAAAAAAAAGGGGGGGCGGAGCAAAAAAAAGCGGGGGCAGAACAACAACAAAAAAGAGTTTTAAAGGGACCTGGGGCATTAGCAGGCCCCGGCCCCGCGCTGCCCTCCCAGCGGAGCCTCCCGCCCCCCGGCCCGCCACGGGCATATGCGGGGCACGGTGGGTCCGGGCGGGGGCAGCGCGGAGTGGGCAGGAGCCGGGTGGGTGGCAGGGGCCGAATCCCTGCTGCTGCCAGGGAGCCCTGCGCCTCTCCCTCCCGCTCGTGGCTGTGGCTCCTTCCCGGCGGGACGCGCCTTCCTCTGCCCCGGCCCCATGCGGCGCGCATCCCCCGTGCCTAGTCTCCCTCCCACCGGGAAGGAGCCGCTGGACGCGGGCCGCATGTGCGCGGGGCAGGCCGGGGAGCGCGTCCCGCCGGGAAGGAGCCGCAGCCGCGAGCGGGAGGGAGAGGCGCGGGGCTCCCTGGCAGCAGCAGGGATTCGGCCCATGCCCCCGCGCCGCCCACCTGGCCCCTGCCCGCTCCGCGCTGCCCCCGACCGGACCCACCACGCTGCCCCGCGGGCTGCAGGGCTGGAGCAGCCTCCAGGCTGCGCTCCCGGCCCCGGGTGCAGCAGGCCGGGCAGAAGCCCTCTGGCGCGGCGGGGGGGTTCAAAGCTGAGCCCCCGTCTCCCTCCCTTGCCTGCCCACCCGGTGCCCGGAGCTGACTCACCAGCTCCAGGATCCAGGCACCGCCACCACCCCCTCCCTCCAGGCTTGCGCCGCCATCCTGCAAGCCTGGGAGGGAGGAGGAATGCTGCGTGGTTGGGGAAGAGGCGGGGCCAGGGTGGGGATTTGGGGAGGGAGCCAATGGGGGAAGGAGGGGGCGGAGCCGGGCGGGGGGGGGG